TATCCTCCACCCATGCCTTCCCCTGCTGTCTTATACTCCCTCCATGCCTTCCCCTGCTGTCTTTTACTCCTTCCATGCCTTCCCCTGCTGTCTTATTTTCCCTCCATGCCTTCCCCTGCTATCTTATCCTCCATCCATGCCTTCCCCTGCTATCTTATACTCCCTCCATGCCTTCCCCTGCTATCTTATCTTCCCTCCATGCCTTCCCCTGCTATCTTATCCTCCCTCCATGCTTTCCCCTTGCTCTACGCCTTCCTCCAGGATCATTCATCTTTGCTCTGTGGCTCCCCCCTGCTCTCTCATCCTTACTGCTATTGATTATTGGGTATTTTGCCTTAAATCCCACATTCTTCACATTATCTCTTGCCTTTCTAGAATTTGTGGTTGGCATCTGTCTTCAAGCTATATATTTAACCTCACCCAAGAACATTTTTTTTTGCTTTTATAACTGGCACGGACAGTATTTGGGGAATTTGCTGAATTTGCAAAGTCTCCCAATGGTGACATTGCCCCTGGGGGTATAGGTAGTATTTACTTACCTAAACCTGTCCCTCGCTGGTGCCACCATCTTGATCCAACAGGACCTCATTGGTGCCGATATCAGTGATGCTCAAGAACACAACATTGAGGTCTATGAAGGATCATGTAGTCCTTCATAGACACAGCAAATTCCCTGCAGCTGTTACTGGTGACTGCTGCCGGGAGAAGGAATGTATATCGACTGCGTTAGAATTTCACTGAAATATTCTATAAAGGTTCCATATTACATACTCATTTTTTAGGGGGTGATGTTTTAAGTATCCTCCTTTCACTCACTAACCATCATTTTTACCGCCAGTGGATATATGTTCACTCTATTGGTCCAATGGGAGATGACTTAGAGGTAGCTCTAGAAAACAGTTGGCAATTCTCAGCAAGTGGGTAATGACACAGTCGACACTCTAGAATGCAAACATGCAAGCTCTTGTGAAGTTAATATGTAGTATAAATTCTCACTGTGGAGTATGGGAATAAAACAGAATAACAAATATAGTGCTCCCTGTTTGACAAAAGTATGTACTCACTGTAATAGAGCAAATATGGTTTTGCTTATTCCAAGAGGAGGGTCTATGCACAGTCTGAAGGCACAGGACGATTCACAGATCGCGGTGTTCAGTCTCATGAGGCAGGGCCTGCACAGATCCCGTGTTCCGTCTAAAGAGGTGGATCTATGCACAGATCACTGTGTTCCGTTTAAGGGGGCGGATCTATGCACAGATCACTGTGTTCAGCCTGAGGGAGCGGGGCCATACACAAATCACTGTGTTCAGTCTGAGGGGGCGGATCTATGCACAGATCACTGTGTTCCGTCTAAGGGGGCGGATCTACGCACAGATCACTGTTCAGCCTGAGGGGGCAGGGCCATGCACAAATCACTGTGTTCAGTCTGAGTGGGAGGGGCCATGCACAAATCACTGTTCAGTCTGAGGGGGCCCATCTATGCACAGATCACCTTGTTCAGCCTGAGGGGGTGGGGCCATGCACAAATCACTGTGTTCAGTCTGAGTGGGCGGGGCCATGCACAAATCACTGTGTTCAGTCTGAGGGGGTAGGGCCATGCACAAATCACTGTGTTCAGTCTGAGGGCGGGGCCACGAACAGATCACTGTGTTCAGTCTAAGGGGGTCGGGCCATGCACAGGCTCTTCAGACTAAATAAAGCAATCCCAGAGAGCTGGAGCCAGCAGAGGGGGGATTTTAATAAGCAGGACAGACATATGTAGTCAAGTGCTTACACTGCCTAGTGTGAAATTGGGCCCTGTGAGAAATTGCTTTTATAGTAGTAGCGATAGCAGCCAGTGGGCAAAAAGTAAAATTATTTTTTTTTTTATTCTGTTTTAGATGTTTGTCATTAAGTTCCCGAATTTCAGCTGTTTACTTGCATTCAGGCATGATGAAATGAAGAATACGTTTAATTTAATTTAGAGGTCGTGTTAAAAAATCCTGACAATTTTGGTAGAAGATAAAGTATCTTTATTTAAACCAGGTTATCTGTTAATACTTTGTGTTTTATAAAATGTTTTTATCTATCTAGTCTTTAAACAAAAAAAATTATTTATTTACTTATTTTTACTTTATGTATTTAAAGGGACACTCCAGGCACCCAGACCACTTCTGCCCATTGGAGTGGTCTGGGTGCCAACTCCCACTACCCTTAACCCTGCAACTGTAATTTTACCACGACAGGAGGCTTCGTATTTTGCATAATCTTTCTTTACTAACTCCCATAGCAGCAAAGAAAAGAGTGAAAACTGAGAACCAATCACAATGCAGTAAGGGAAATAAGAGGCGTGTCATATTACATCATTTCCTCTTTCTTTGCTGCTCCATCACAAAATAAGTATAGATTTTGGCTTATCCTCTCTGTCCTTCATACTTCTTACCTACAGTGATTTATATCATATTTTCTAGCTTGTATCATATTCTCTTACTACCTAGCTTGTATATCTCCTGTTACTCTACTGACCTCCATTTCTCTGGGGCTAACCCCCTCTGTTTCTGGGCTCTTTCTGCCTTTCCCTCACTCCAGGGAAGGCCCCCTGGCTCTGGGACCCTTCAGCTGTAATTTCCCCTAACCCGGTTTACAGGAGGACTTACCATCACTCTCGCTGTTTTCTCCACACCTCCCCAGAGCCACACCTCTCTTCGCCGGCTTTTTCATGCCTTTTACCGTTGTTCGCACGTCCTTTCGATTCACGAATGGCATTAATCTTACCGTTCATTCGCGAAGGCACATTTAGTTTTATTAGGCGCTCGCGTTCGTCTATTCGTGCGTTGAACGCCAGCACCATTTATTGGGGCTCGCGTTTGGCTACTTCTCTGCGCACGAACGCCCGGCTCTGCCAGGCATTCGTGCAATTCCTTTTGCCGCCCTAACTCTAGGGGAGGTACTAAACCTCCCCATTTCAACTGCTTTTCAGTCCGGCGGCCATTGCTGCTCTGTTGCAGACTCCAGCTGCTTCTCTGCCAGGTACTCTGGAACACTCTTCAAGAACTCTGCCTCCTTCTCATAGCACACAGTGGGACCAGGTCAGGTTAGTGCCTTGCACTTGGGGTTGGTTTAAGCCAGTTGGACTATCCCTTATTCTGGCCGGGGTGAGCCCCCATTCATGTGCTGCTGAATGGACCTGTCCATGCGGGATTCCGATTTCCTGGGTGAGCCCCAGTGACACAGCCCTCTGACCACCTTACTCCGACCTACGAGTCACATATTCCCTCAGGTTAACCATTACCTACCATACCACCCCCTGGTCCCCAGGCCTCTCCAGTTATTTGTGCCCAAGTGCCCTCACGCATATTCCACTGGGTGAGTCCCGAGTGTTGATTCCAGACCATGGAAGAATCACAAAACCCCTCAGATCTCCAGGTCATGATCGCCGCGACTGTGGCTGCATCTATGGAAAAGGCCTTTGCTAAGTTGTTCCAGTCGGAACAGGACGCACCTAAGCCCATCCCCAAGTGGGGCGGATTTTGAGGACTCCGATTCTTCCAGATCGCTTCAACCTTCCTAAGCGCCACTGGAAAGGCAAGGCCATTGGACCACGTAAGTCCAAAGGAAAGGCCCCTGCTAAACGCAAAAGAGCCACAAACCTTTCGGCCCACGGACCCGCTCAGGCTTCCTCTGGGGAAGATGACGCAGGGCCAACACATGCACTTGCCGTGCTTTCCGACCAGGAGGAATCCGACTGGGACTCAGCTGCCAACTCTGCCCCTTATCTCGTAAGGGAACAGACCCTGGGTGAGCCCCAGGACTCCATGGCCACGACCATGGATAACCCATAAGAGGGTACAGAGATATTCTTAGACAACTCAGGCCTCCGAATGTTTGATCCCAGGAACATTCGCCATCCCCGTTCAGAAGAGTGGACACCACCCGAACACCTGGCCAGATTCATGCACTTCTGGCTCCGGAAGTCTCTGGACAAGGAAGTGAGGAAACGTACAAGGTCAGAATGCCCTCGCCCGATCCTACCAGACAAGGTGGCGCATACCCCCGAATTTGATCCTCTCATGACGACATTCATGTCCGGTGGGGGTCGGGACCCACGCAAAGGCGTGGAACGCAGCTTTAAAGGAGCCCAAGATAAACTGCTACACGCCGTCGGGGCACTAGCAAGGATCATGGACATGGCAGATGACGCCTATGAGAGGGCTGACGACTTTACCTAAGATACGGTGCGTGAGTGGGCATGAGATACCCGAGAGTGGGCACAGAGGTGCTTCTGCTTCCTCGGGAACACTAACGTGGCCCTCTCTTCGGAGAGGCGCCGAGCACACACTTTTCCGTATTGACGACAAACTTGTCGAACTGGGGGATAAGGAATTGGGCCCCTTGGCACAGGGCAAGCTGGTTGGAGAGGCCTTCCTTACTGAGCTAAATAAGAGGGTCAATATTTTTACGTCCCTCAACAAGGCGCAAACATCAATGCGGAAAGGATTCCGCAGCCCTAGCACCCAAGGTGTTTTTGGGAGGGCTGGTCGGCAGAGGGGCCGTGCCACCAGCCGCTTCTGGCCATCCTGCCCTCGCACAACCAGGGCACAGCCATTCTACCCGGATTCGTCTACCCGACATCGATTCCACCAGTTCAGGGGAACGGATCGTGGCCGTGGCGGCCGAGGACGCCCCCGGGTGAGATTCTCCAACGGTAATTGAGATTCTACCCTACCTCTAACCTCTTGCCATATCGCAGGTCGTGTTTCTCTTTTTTTCCAGAATTGGACAGACCTATCCTCAGACACATGGATACTCCGGACGGTGTAGGGATATCAAATAGAATTCGAGACGACCCCGCTCCAACGGGCCACGCCCGATCCAACTTACGCAGGCGGACACCTGTTTAATAGACTCGGACCTGCAAGACTTACATTCCAAGGGTGCCATCCAACCAGCTCCGGACTCAACAGGGTTCTACAGCAATATCTTCCTGGTCAGGAAGAAAACCCGGGAATTCCGCCCCATCATCAACCTCAGGGAGCTCAATTCCCACGTGGTGTACCGCCATTTCAAAATGGAGGGTATCCACCTTCTCCGGGATCTGCTTCGAGACAACGACTGGTTCACGCAACTAGACCTCAAGGACGCGTACCTTACCTGGTGCACGAAAGGAGACGCTCCTATCTCCGCTTCCACTGGTTCCACATACAGAGGGTGATGCTGACCCTCATTACGCCACTATGGCAGAGCCAACCATGGTTCCCGGACCTTCTTGAACTGTCGAACAGGGATCCCCTCCTCCTACCAGATACTCCAACCTCCTCAGGAACGGCTTCCTCTGGTGGCCTGGACTCTTTCCGGGGGTTGCTGGCGAACCGAGGACTTATCGCAGGAAACTAGGGATCTCCTATGGGATTCATGTGCACCAGGAACAAGGAGGTGCTATTTATCAGCATGGCACTGCTGGACAAATTGGTGTCTGGGACGGGATCTCAATCCCTTTTACTGCACCTATTCCCTCCATCATGAATTTCCTCACCTCCCTATTCACAGCTGGAAAATCATACCGGTCCATCAACGTGATACGTTCAGCCATTTCAGCGGCCCATACTCCGACTCAAGGGACACCTGTTGGTCAGGACCCGCTCATCTGTAGACTCCTCCGCGGCATGCCCCTTCTGCACCCCCCGGAACCCAAATACTCAAGACTTTGGGACGTTGGCATTGTCTTACAGTTTTTACGGGACTGGCCTCCTAACGAGAAATTATCACTCCGCCAGCTTATGGCGAAATTCACCTTCCTGCTCTACCTGGTCTCCTTTCGCGAGTGTCCGATGTACGCGCTTTTGACGCCGACACATTTACCTTTTGCCCAGCGGGTGTAACCTTCCAGGTCTCACGACGCACAAAGTCCGACTCTTCCTTGGTCTTTTACCCCTTTTTTCCCTTAGACCCTCAGCTCTGCATGGTCTCTACTCTCCGTCAATACGTGGAAGCTACCGCGACGTTGCGGCCTACTTCCAATCGTCAACTTCTCATCTCTTATGTCCGCCCCTATAGTCCAGTCTCGGTCACTACGTTGGCCAGATGGGTTAGATGGCTCTTAGCCCTTGCTGGGATATACCAAGCTTTTGGAGCACACTCCGTTCGTGGGGCTGCGGCCTCTTCCGCTTATGCGGCAGGTGCTTCCCTTCCAGATATCTTGCGAGTGGCGGACTGAACTAGAGAATCCACCTGTAGGATGTTCTACTTCCGTCCTCTATCTAATCCAGCTTTTGCTCTACTTTCTCAGCGTTGAAATTGCAAAATACGAAGCCTCCTGTCATGTGGTAAAAGATTATGTTAGCTAATTATGTACACTAATAATCTTAATTTTAGTAATGACAGGAGGCGAGTATTTTCCCTCCCTACTCTCTTTCGTTCTTCCCTCCCTCTGTTTTTCATATATATCTATAGCATTTGTTTCTTCTATTACTGTATTAGTGTCTAACTTTTGCCCATCAAGGACTTAATGTATATATTCAATGTGGGTGGGCTGTTTAGTTAGTACTGTTAGACGGAAGGACGTTATTGTTTTATTAATTAATCTTAAGGGATAGATATTCATTGCTTTTTACACAAACACTTTTGGAATCTAATACCTTTTATATTCTCTTTTCAGTTTAATCGGAAACCACAAGGGACTATTAAAGACTCCGCTCAAGGTTTCATCATCATTACGTCATTGAAGACCATCATTTTAACTCAAGACATCCTAGTTTGGATCTCTACCTGTTTCCTGTTCAAGCTATGCATGTTATTTCTACGGTTATCCTGTATTATGGACTTGTTATGTAGCATTACTTAAGAGGAAATGATGTAATATGACACGCCTCTTATATCCTATACTGCATTGTGATTGGTTCTCAGTTTTCACTCTTTTCTTTGCTGCCATAGGAGTTAGTAAAGAAAGAATATGCAAAATATGCAAAATACTGTCATTATTAAAATTTAGATTATAAGTACACTAAAGTTAACATAATCTTCAATTATTGCAGTTTTCATAAACTGCAATAATTACCATGCAGGGTTAACTCCTCCTCTAGTGGCTGTCTACTAGACAGCCACTAGAGGACACTTCCTGCTTCATAGCACAGGTTTTCTGTGCTAGAGCGTCGCTGGACGTCCTCACGCTGTGTGAGGGCCTCCGGTGTCGCTCACTCCCCTATAGGAAAGCATTTTCAATGCTTTCCTATGGAGAGCTCTAATGCGCATGCACGGCATTGCGCATTAGGTCTCCTCAGCCGGCGGGCGGGATCAGTCTCCCCCGCCGGCTGACGTGATGAAGGGGAGGAGCGGCGGCGACCCAAACCACTGCCGAGGGACATCGGCAGGGGTCTCAGGTAAGTCACTGAAGGGGTTTTCACCCCTTCAGCAACCGGGGATGGGTGGTGGGAGGGAGAGGGGAACTACAGTGACAGGAAAACGGATTGTTTTCCTAGCACTGGAGAGTCCCTTTAATGATTGAGTAAATCCATAAATATTAATCTTTCCATAGAAACTAAATCCGCACACGTGCCACAATTTTTTTTTACCTCTTCCTCTATCGCTATACATACCACGTCTTCGTTTACTTATCATTCTTTCCTCAACTTCCAATATTCAATTTTCACTTTCCTTTACTGGTCACTCCTACTCAACTTACGACCAGTCCTAGCTCTCCTGAAAACTTTTCTAAAGGCAAACTATTTATTTCCTATGACAGGTAGCAGGTAATAAAATGTATCTTTTGCAGCAGCTGCTCACTCAAAGTTGAGTCCAAAGGGAAAAGTAGATTTTGGCTAAAGCAAGCAGAGCGTTAAATCTCCAGAAACAGTAGCCAGAGATGTGACTGTCAAGGTTGGCAGAAGATGGTCCTTTCACAAAAAGACACGATGTCAAAGATGCAGAGAGCAAGTAGAATGATGAAAGTTTGTGAACCCTTCATAAATACTTATATTTACTGAATATGTGATCTGCTCTACACCTGAGTATTAATAATAAATAGAAAAAATTGGGCTAAAAGAGAACCAACACTTTCTAGGATGTTTAATATAATGTTTACTTATCTGCTATATTTAACTATTACGTGGTTGTGAGGTCTGAAAAATAAAATGAATTGTAGAAATCCAAAACCCCTTTATCCTGGTGCTTCAATCTAGGCTTCCTGTCAGTGATTCTTATAAGCGCTTTCCTTTTCTGTCATTAAATATTAAAGGGACACTATAGGCATAAAAATAATTTTAGCTTAATGAAGGAGTTTTAGTGCATAGACCATGACCCTGCAGTCTCCCTGCTCAAACTGGAAAAATAGAAATCATCAGCACGCCACAATGAAATATAATGGAGGTTTATTCAATCATCCAAGTTGAAAGGCCTTTCCACTTTGATGGCTGAATAACCCACCAATAGATTAACAATGCTGTATGCTGAGGATATTTCTACTTTGAGAATCTGACATTTCTGAAGCCGGATGCCGCCTGGGTATGAGAGGACATCGCCGCTGGAGGAAACTTTGGGAATAAACCGTTCAAGAATGGTTTAACCCCACTGAGGTAAGTGTGCCTCCTGGGGCCTATTGGCACCATAACAACTTAATTTAGATTAGGTTGTTTTGATGCCTAGAGTGTCCCTTTAATTGTGTTACCTGCCATTGAGACTTACCACCTTGTCTGACGTGGACAATGAATGTGTTCAACAAAGTATGTCGTTAAAAAAGTATGTCATTTTTTGTTATTATTGTAATCAAATTATCTTGACCAATTATTAGGAGTTAATGGCAGCCATGCGCACCCCCACACACGGTCCCCCACACACAGTCACACCCTATGTTACAACTATTTACACTGTTAACACATGGACACATGCACACATCTTGAAACAAAGATACACACACAGATCTTGACACACAGATGCACAATGGCACACACACACACTGGTACATACACAGACACCTAGGCACACACAGGCACATATACATAGATATGCACACTGTTACATACAAACACACACACTGGCACATATACACACACTAGCACCTACACACATATACATACAGATAAACACACACACACAAGCTGACATACATTGCAGCCACTTGTTAGCTTACATTTTGGGGTCTAAGCTGAGGCTGATGGGAGTGAGCATGCAGCAGTAGCTTACTCCAGCCTCTTCATACTGCCTGCTCTGGTGCTGCCTCCAGCCTCCTGCTCCCTCGCGGCTGTCTGTTTAGCTGGATGGAAATGACAGCATACCACTTCCTCCCGTGGACGGTGAAGCTAAATTGGTATTTCTGCAATAAATTACCTAGCAGAAATATACACATACATATCCTGTTATCAAATACCAATGTATGACTTTTAGGCATGTTTATGCTTGCAATGTCCAGTTAATAAATTCACTTTATCTGCAGTTTTTTTGGGGAGGTTCGGGGTTGGAGAGAACCTACAGGTACCTGACATGCAAATCTGGCTCTTATATTCATTACAATATTCTGTAGTGGTTGTGGTTCTGGAAGTGTCCTGGGTGACAGTCACCACCATTTTGAGCCAATCACCATAAGGGAAGAAATCAGGGTTACGTTAAAGTGGACAAAGAAAGTAGTAATTCAATAATCAACCTTTTTGCACCAAATAGCAACCTTTTAATGTAGTTTTTGTCTTCTGGGATTACTAGACAACAATCTGGGTTTAGAATGTACAGTTTCACATTCTTTCATGTACATGTGTATCACAGATTCCATTGAAATAGTGGATTTACCATTTCCATTATGGGATTATTTCTCATTACCAAATTCACCTTTGATTTGTGTGTTTACATTTAACACCTCTTCTTTCAAGTCTGCTTTTTCCTGTGTCTGATCATTTAAAACAATATGTGCTCTGTTGACATTGGTGACTCCCAGCTGTGTTAGTTTAGTGAAGATACAAAGAACAATGTAACTGACACTTTGCTGGTTAGGGTAGCAGAATGTCCTGACTTGGGTCAATATTATTACTTTCTGTGCCATCTTGTCTCATAGCATGTTAGTGTGAAAGTACTGTGCGAGAAAACACAGATACAGTAAGGAAGTCAGGTCACAAGGTTAGAGATTGTTAAAGTGTTAACTGCAGGAAAATTGTTTACTAGAAGAATGCCAACACCATGCTAGTCTCAGCCATATGTCATCAATTAGTACTAAAGGGACTCTGTCATGCATAACATGGTAGAGTTATTTTTGAGCTACGAATAATTTGAATCTATACAGTGTGCTAGCCGAAGTCCAAGCATATGTATATATGTGCCGATAGGATGAAAATAAAGTGCTTATTTAAATACTATGTGCACATCACCCTACATCTGGGTTGCCCAAAAGGTAGATCCCCAGATGTTTTAAAACTACAGCTTCCATGATGCTTTGTCATTCTAAAGGCATGCAAAGCA